AATTAAAAAAAAAGACTGAGAGATTATCATACTAAATGAAGTCGGTCAGACAGAGAAAGACAAGTACTATGTGATGTCATTTCTATGTGGAATCTAAAATACGACAGAAATGAACTTATTTACAAAACAGAAACAGACTCACAGACATAAAAAACAAACTTACGGTTACCAGGGGGGAAGGGGGTGGGAAGGGATAAATTGGGAGCTCGGGATTTGCAGATTCTGACTACTATGTATAAAATAGATGAACAAGGACCTACTGCACAGCACAGGGAGCCGTGTTCAGTTTCCTGTAATAAACCGTAAGGGAAGAGTCTGAGAAAGAACGAAATGGGAAGCATCTGAAGAAGGGATGCACGCCGCCAGCCAGAGCAAATCCAGCCCCTCCTAACACACGTGTGTCGGTGAGTGTCACTGAGTCACTGCTGTGTGCCCAAAACCAGCGTGACGCTGTAAATCAACCACACTTCAGTAAAACATTTAAAAAAAAACTCTAAGAATAATAAGCCGGCCCTGACTCTGACGATGCCTCGTGTCCATGTAAGTGCCCCTTTAAACTTCACCTTGCACTGTGTCCTCACACCAACAGCACCTTACATCCGCACGGGGAGAAACAGCTTGTGACTGGAAGGCCCGAGAACGTTCATTCTTAGTCAGAGGTTCAAGAGTACGTTTTTGCAGAAATGTTCTGACTTTCCACATTTGGCCGTCATCTTAGTGTCCTTCGTGTAATTCTCCGGGTTAAGAACCGATCTCTTCTTCAGGGACTTGAACCAAACAGAAGCAATGATAGGTCAAGTGTCATGTGGCCTGTCCTCCCCACGTCTCCGCCTTACGAGGTCCCCCTTCTGCTGGGGGCTGCCCCTCCTGAGACGCCCCCCAGCTCAGGACCTGGTGTTTAGAAGCTCCGTGGCCGGGACGCCCTGCACTTGGCCCTGCGTTGCCGGCTCCAAGCCCGTAGCTTCCAGCTGGATCTGCGCACTTCACACCTCGCCTGCCTGGAGCCTCCCAGCCAGCTGACCCACAGCCCAGCAACTCCCTGAATTCCACCTTTGTGGCTTCCGAGTGCTCTGGATCTTCCTGCCCGCCATCCACACTGAAAACACGCCCGTGGGAAACGCTCTTAGTTCAGCCACAGGGGTTTTAAACACCTTCGGCTCACAAGCCTGCCTGCACACTGGGAAGGCGGTGATGGGAGAGGCAGGTTCCAGGACGCCTGGAAGACTCACTTAGCGTGACAAAGGGTTAGTTTGCAAAGGAAGCTAGGATCGGCCCCCATGTTTGCGATATGTACGTGTCTCCAGCTACTCATAGGTATCAGTAAGAGGAGAGTGGAGGGGCCAGCAGGGCCAGGTGTGCGGCGATGAGACGGAAGAAGCACGTGGAAGGCAGAGGCCAGACTCGCTGGGCACAGAGAGGACTGAGTGAGCATTCTGGCTCAGACAGGAGACTCACTTCCTGGCCCGAATGCAAACTCCATGATGCTTTTGCTCCACGTGTGTGCTAATAATAGAAAGCCTCATGATGGTTCTGAAGATAAAGGTTGGTGATGTTAGCTACTTGACAGGCTTGACACGTCTCAGGGCACAAAAGTGTTGACTGAGCTTGGATCCCTGCTGGTCAGTGTGCAGGAGCCAGAAAGACCCATCTTCAGTGCCCAGAGAGGCAGCTTCTCCGAGGGCCTGGAGTGGGTCAGCGTCAGACGCCGGGAGTTCCTTCACCCGTCCTGCTCGCCTCTACCTTGACTGCCAGGAGGCTCAGAGCGACACTAAACTACACACATCCTGGGGCTCTGGTAGAGCTGTGCTTCCATTTCCCTTATGCGTTTCCTAATTGCTCTCTCTGATTTGACTCTTACCTGTGCTGTTGTGCGTGTGCTGATCAGCCACCTCTGATTGTCTGTGAACCATGAACACAAACACCCGTGGACAGACTGTTGTTCATTCAAGGACACAATTTTCAAGTAAGGTAGACCATCCGATAAAGTAAGTCTCGTAATGTTAACTCCTACCCCTCAGCCTCTAACCAGGACCTTGAGTTGTGAGTTCCCTGGGAAGTCAACGATCGGCTCCTTTCACAGGGGTGAGCCTGCGGCCGATGGGCCCCACCCTCTCCTCCCGGTTTCTTACAAGTCCACAACCCTCCCTCGATTACACTGGGAAAGGAAAGCCATCAGTGCCAGCAGCTACCGTGGAAAGCCAACTCCCTGTGGAAGCAGCAGCCACCGAGGCCAGCCGTGATCGTCCTCCGAGGTGACACACGTTGCCCTGGAACTGTGGTTGCTGTCTGCCGTCCCTGGACGTTGCCTTGTTCCAACAAAGGCTAACTGGTGGCCGCGTCTGACCCCTGGGTGTCAAATTTCCTAACCATCTTAATTTTAATTTCATACACTGTTGATCCCCCACACCTGCCTCAGACTGACTTTTGCTCATTCAAATAAATGGATACGTCAAAATACTAAAACCACGCCTTTCACTCCGCTGTGAACTGGGGAGACGTGTGAGTCAAGTGAAACTACAGGCTTAACAGGAAGACATTCATCGAGCAATTTAACGTTGAAGAAACAAAGAAACGAGAGATTTCATCAAGGCCGGAGCTGAGGCCGCGCTCTTGTCATGGTGCAGGGGCTCGTGTGCTCGCGTCGCGGCAGGGACCAGGTGAGAGCAGGTGGCACTTGCGTGTGTTTGGGGGGCGGCCTGCAGGTATTTAGGCGTGTGAGCAGCTGTCCGAGGGGGTAAACTTTGTTCAGGAAATCCTTTTAAAATAGAGAAAAGCAAAGCCAGGTATCGCTGAGATCTCACAAATCTGATGCAGCAGCGTCAAAGGGCGCCCACGTGTGCTCGGGCCTCATCTCCTCCAAGGGGCCCTTTTCCAGTCTGAGAAATTCAACTGTCAGCCCTTAGCTAGAGTTCCTGGTCATATGTGGACATCAGCACAGAAGCCAGGAAGCCTCAGGGGACCCCTCAGCGAGAAGGCCATCTGGGACATAAGTCCGAGTGCTGTGAGCTTACATAGCAAAGTCTGCGACTTTGTCATTTGAACACTGAGGACACTGAAGGCAGTACAGGTTCACTGACTTGCCCAAAGCCCCTGGGGCCATCAGTGGCATCGGGGGTGGTGGCTGGAGCCACGTCTGTGTCCCGGGAAGCGCTCCTCCATGGTACTCAGGGTGTCTCCTCGTACGCTCTTCCTGCTACAACAGTGAGAACTCCAATCACTGCATTCCCCACGTCTCATGATAAAAAATACATTATTTTAAATTAAAAAGGTAGACTTTCTGTGGTAGAATTTTCCAGTCTGGCTGCCTCTCTGTATGCTCTCTCAAATTCCATCCACTGAGTGCCTCTAAGACTCAGGAGCTGTGTTCTCACCAGCATCCTGGCTCAGAGGCGAGCCTGCTTGTCTTCACGGTCTTCCCAGCCTCAGTGCCACTCTGTGAGCAGGGAGGCGACCTCACCAACAGCTGCGTGCATAGCGCACCGCACAGGCCCGTCGGTCCCGGCTCAACGGGCTCACCTCGGGTGGAGACGCAAACGCCTGAAACAGCTGGGTGGGAGTGTCCCCACTTCCCCCGGAAAAACGTGGTTGTGACACCTCGTTTACACTACCTGACTTCTCATTAAAACGTTTTAGCCAAACGCAATCGTTTCCTCTAATAGCAACACAACAATGTTTAAGTGTTGACTAATCGAGAGGTGGTTAGGGGAAGACATTCTCTCCTGGTTGGCTGACTTCTTTTCCGCTGTAAACACGAAGAATCCAGTTTTTAAAACCTGGATTTTTAAATGAATCTCCATACGTACGCCTTCATAAAATAACAAAGACTTAAAATAAACCACTTATTTAAATGACATAATTCAACAGTTTACTGTTTTACAGAATACAAATAATAATATGATAAATTAAATAGAATCATTTAAACCACAAAATACTCTTCAGAGTGGCCTGTCCTTTTTCTGGCATGAAACCATTTCTTCGAGGACGCCCATTACAAATTCCTGCCTCTTTAAAAGCTAGCCTGGGGATTTTGGACTCGTTTGTAATTTTTCTCTTGATTTTACTAAAGGACAATCAAAATAATTGCTTGATTTCACCCAGAAATCAGTGTTCAGCTGAAAAGGGAAGAGCAGGGAAGGAAGGTCACCCGAGGGCTGCAGGTGCACCCGCTCAGCCTCCGCTTAGGCCGCGTGGCCTGGCTCCCGCTGGCGCGCGGGGCCGCACGACCTTGGTCCTCACACCCTGCTTTGTGGGAATTAGCTAGGGGTGGGCGGTAGCCTGTAAATGCTTCTCACGCATCGTGACCACAGCCTTCCACTGAACCGCGAAGCTGCGCTGATATGCGGGGAGACGCTCCCTGGGGGCGTGAGTCTGGAGCCCGAGCGGCAGGCGCCTCACGGCCTTGGGCGAGCGCCATGATTCTGCCTAGGTTCATCTTGCAATAATCCCCCCTCCCGCCTGCGGTCTAGGCGTTCCCGCGCCATCACAGCCCACGGACCTGGAGCCCAGTGTCTAGGGCACCATCGTCTGGGACCCCAGCCTCAGGGGCCTATGTGTCCTGTACACCCCCTCCTGCGCAGCCTTCCCGGGAGCTGCCCCGGCGCCAGTGGGGGCTTCTTCCCCCAGGACGAGCTGAGCCCCTGCAGAAAGGCCAGGGAGGAAGCTTGCAAGTCACCACCTGGGGTTCCTGAGCTCCTAGGGGGAAGTACGGGGTGGAGGGACACACCCTCCCAGGGACCAGGGGGCGGGGTGGCTCCCAGCAGCTGTGTGCGCGGAGCACTGTGTCCCCGCGTGGGCCAGCGTGTGAGGCTGGACCTCATCTGGGTCGTCTGATGTGTGAGGTGAATTCCGCCTCAAGAGGCATTTAGAAGGCCCAGTCAGAGACCAACAGCCAAGCCCTCGTCCGCAGAGAGAAGGCCAGCAGGACACTCGGAGTCCCCATCACCCCCCAACTCTGCCCCGCGGGAGGCGCCCAGACAGCAGGCACGAAAGCCAGGCCTTACCTCCTGTGTCTCGCGTATTTCCCGCTAACGTGGCCACTGCCATCGCAGCCCGGGGTGGGGCAGCTGCAAGGAGAAAGGAGGGTGAGTCACTGGGGTGCTGTGGGCAGGGGCCCCGAGAACCTCTTCGGTGTCGGAGAGAGAACAGGCGACACAGACAGACAGACAGGACTGGAAACCGGAAGGAGGAGAGCGGGGGTGCAGGGCCTGGGCCCGGAGCCGAGGGCACGGTCTCCACTGGCCGGCGGGCTCTCTGCGTGCCCGCCCATGGGGCC